GAACGACTAAATTTAAATCGTTTTTCAAAACAGATCAAAACACATGAGAGAAGTTCACAACCAATGTTATTATCTAACCAGTCCTACATAAAATTCATGCCATCAACTATACATTGTTCTCGTATTTCCAGGGTTCTGCTGTACTTATGTGAGTTTCCGAAATTGGTCTTGCGAAAAATGGAGATTTCTTTTTGTATTTTATATCTACTATATATTTTCGCCATTTTTTAAATGTATCCTGTTATGCATTTTTTAAATATTCCTATGTGGGATATCTTATAACTTTTGCTTTAATTTATTAACTAAATATAGTCCCGTTATAATAAAATAAACGAAACTAAACATGGTGAAGCATTTTTTTTCATATTCTACCTATTGAAATTGATTGTTTTTTCCTACAATAATTTGATGCGGATCGTTTTTGCGAGTATGCCAAATTTTATTTTGTCTATAGTTTTAAAACGGTGTATTTTTCGATAATTTGATGTATATATCTTGAAACGTATAGTTCTAATCTTTCGAATTTCATGAAATTTCAATTTTTGAAAAAAAATATCACTTATTTTCGTTATCTGATCGTTATCTACGTGCACTTATCATATATGTATTTCTGTCATATATGTTAACGTTATAAAAGTGTTATGTTATAAATACATATATGTTATATACGAAAATAAAAATAAATTTTATTTTCCTTTAGAATATTAATTATAATTATGCTATTTTTGTTAAAAATTAGTGTAAACAGATTTTAAGTTGTTATTAAATTGAAAACGGTTTTTAAAATTATAAACTCGAAAAAAACCGTGACTTCAACAATGAGTTTAAGTATATGGTATTAACACGATTGTACTACCTTCTCACAGCTTTCAATACCTTTTCATTGTAAAAAAAAAGTGCTTAAAGCATTTTAGAAAACAACTTTTACAATATTAATACATAAGTATTTTGGTGTTTGTTTGAAAAGTTCAATTAAAAGCTCTGTGCAAATGTTAATTTTTAACAAACCTTATCAAGTCATTAAAAACATTGCATTTTTATGCTGCATTTTAGAAAAAGTCTTAATGACTAGCATTTTATTGCTGAAAATATATACTAGTTTATTTAATTGGTTATTTCTGGCAACATTTATGTGAATGTATAGGAAAAGCGTGCTCAATTTTTTCGATACCTGATTTACTTTTATTTTATGTATCTACTTTGTATAGAACTCATTTTGGAGAAGCGCACAATGTTAAGAGCTTTTACTAAACTTTTTGGAACGTGGTACTTCGTAAAGTTTACGTCGTAAGCGCATTATTGAAGTCACGGAGTGTTTGATCTTTGTAATTTATGGATCAATTCATTTTAGTTTTCCATTTTTTTTTTGAATATTTTTGGATCTTTTTTAAAATTTCATCAAGTTACACTATTGGACACAATTTTTTAAAAATGTACTGTAGATACTAATTTTTTGTATAAATTGATTTTGTTAAGTTGATTTCTTCAAAATAAGTCTCAATAATTAAATAGATTGATTTTGCTTTTGCTAAAACGTAACTCTTTCATTTTATAAATACTCATTTTATTAAAAAAATCTGATGTGATCAGCACATAATCGATCGCAAAAAGTATTTTTTGGTTCCGCGAAAGCGTTGTACAAGATTATGAAAATTAAACAACTTCAAATTTTAAGGGCGCTAATATAATCTTAATTCTCACACTTACAAAAATGAAAATTTGAAAAATTAGATGGACATATTTCTAAAAAATAGTTTGTTGAAACTTTCCTGTCACGATGATGTGCATTTCTAACTATAATAACAAAAATAACTAAAAAAAACCAAATTTCTCGCTTCATTTCCTCAATATTACATATAGCTACATACATACATATATGTATGTTGTTCCTTTCTTTGGTGATAAATTTACGGGTACTAAATGTTTAGCAAGTCACTTTTGTGTGAATTTATAATACATCAAAAATGTATGAAAGAGTAGAAAACTTTGGACTCGTGTTGGATTTGTGGAAATAATAATTGAAAGAGTTCCTTTTCCAGATCTCTTCAAATATTTGTAGAATGTAGAAATTTGTATATAAATCAATTCGTCCTAAGTATGTTTCTTTACCGACAGGTTTTAGTATTCTTTTCTAAAATGATTTTACTATTTTATTTTATAATATTGAATTTTAAGTTTTATATGCATATGTTTGTGTAAATTTTAGAATAATTTTAACAACAAATACTACACTTTATTTCTAAAATGTTTTAAATTAAAAAAAAAAGTAGAACAAAAATTTAAAAAAAATAAATTTACATTTTATATTTTCAGCTTTTACATATTTTAAAAAAATTCATAAGTTTAATTTTTTTAAAGATTTTCCGTTCTTCATTTTTATTTAGGTATAATTACTTACATACGTATGCATTAATAATTATTTTACTATTTGCTTTTCTTTATTATTACAATATAAGATTAAATTTAATATAGCATGTATGTATATATTTACTAATTTCAATTAATAATTATTAATGAATTTTATTATTTGTATAATCTAGAGTATAATTTTTGTTTTTAAAAAAATAAAGCTCTTGTATAACATATTAAATATTATTTTTACAATAAAAATTTTTACATATTTTTTTACTATACTTATATATACATACTAATATATACTAATATGTGATATATACATATTATATATATATAATAACATGTATTTATTTTTTGTTTTTTAAATACACGCGCTTTGTTATTGTTATTATATAACTTGCTCAAAATTTAATAACATTAAAATATTTAAATTTACAAGTTGTTAATTTATTATTTATTTTTTTATCCGTGAGGCTGTGTATATATATATATACATATTTAAAGATATACATTCATAATTTAAATATATATTAAATTCCTAAAATAGCAGCTCTACTTTAAAAATATAATAAAATGAAAGGGATACTAAATTATTCAAGTTTAAATTAAAATCAGTAAAATTTTAAAAGGAACCAAATTGCTTTCTTTTTTCAATTAGCGTATAAGAAAATTTTTGTCTAATTTTAACTTGGAAATTTTTGAAATTAAAATGAATTGTTTGCAAAAAAATTTTTTGAGTGTAAATACTTGGATTTTTATATAAATATTACTTACGATTCTAAGTAAATTTCCATAATATTTTGAAAAATATGCGAGTAGTAATATAAAAAAGCCAATTGACATTATTCCTTTATTTACGAAATTTTTTAAAATTTTTTCAAAATTTTAAATTTTATTCAAAATTGAATTAGTTCGGTAACAAAACGAAATCCTATTAAATGTATGTAGAATAATATAAGTTAAATGAAATTTAACTTCTATTCTTTAAAGTTTCTACAATGGTACCAATTTAAATTTTAAATGTTACATTTGGAAATATAATATCCCCAATTCGTTTAAATATTTTATAAAGTTTAACAGACTTTGTTGATAAATATCCCTCAAGAACGGATTTAAATAATATCAAATAAATTAACTTTTGTAAAATAATTTAAGAATGTAAATTTATTTGATATTCTTTTTGCATAAGAGTATACAATCAGTTATGCCCGATTAAAGAAACGATTTGTCTATATAGAAACTGAAAAAAAATGTGCAATTGAAACATGCGTTAATAAAAATGTGTAAATTGAGGAAAATTGAAAGCTTTATTATTTTTAATAAAATTTAAAGGTATGGTGCCTACTAGTATTATGTTTATGTAAAACACAGTTGTATTATAATAACTTAAGCAGTTATTTTTTTGAGATCTTTTCCGAAATCAAATATATCTGTTTATATTTTATTGAAAACAACTCATTTTTTTTTTAAATATAACCCAGTGGCAATAAGGCAAAACAATATAAGTTGACTTAGCACAAAATTGATTACATAACGTTTAAATTTTTTACACTTTAATTTAATTTATCATATTTAATCATATTTGTAGCACTTTAATTTAAAAAATTATGAAAGTTGCTAACAAAAAGTGTTGGCACATATTGTTATTCTATTTAATCTTTGATGTATATGTGTAAAATATTATTATGGAAATGTTTATGCTTAATAAACGATAAGACTTTCAAAACTACATTGAAGTTGTTACATAAAAATGTTGGTTTAAAATCTAAAAATAGAAACAGACAACTACTTTCAAATGCTCTGGTTCAGCTAAGTTAAAAAATTGTTGTAAATCTCGCAACTTGTTTCGCACGAAATTCGACTTAGGTGGTTGTTCCTTATCGCCACAAAATTTATAATTGACATAATTATTTTATAAAAAATTGTTATACATTTGAAAAAGTAATCACAAACATTGCATACATTTTGTCTTTTTTTGTAATTAAACAACATCTATTTCTGTTAAGCTATTTTGTTAAAGAACATTTATAAATGAAAATTCAACGGAATTCAACAAATATTATGAAATTTCATATTTTATTTAGAAGCATAGTGTAATGATTAAGGTTTTAAATTTTTGGATCATATATGTAAGTTAATTTTTTACGTTAATTTTAAGATTATATTCTTTGAAATTTGGAAATTATTAATTGTTTTCTCTTATCTAAAATAAACTAAAGTTAAATTATTTTGATAATTCCCGATTTGAGAAAATTCACATTTTTATGGTGATTATACACACATGTAACAATTTTGTAAATTAAAATAAATTTGCGAATTGATTTAAAACTTATAAACTATCAAATCTTAAAATTAATTTTTTGTATTACAAATTGAATTTCATTCCATTTATACCCTGTTATTTCTATTGTATGTAAAGCCTTTAATTTTTTGATCTTAAATTATTAACATCAATAATTATTATTTTCGTTATGTTTAAAATAAAATATTAGTTATACATAAATATAAATAAGTTAACAAACCTAAAAAATAATTAAAATACAAATAATATTCAACAAAAATATATTTTTACCTAATAAAATAACAAAAACATTAAAAAAAACTTTATAATTCAATTAAGATAATAATAAAGAATTAATTAAAAAAATTGAACTTCCTAAGTATAATTTTGAAGGTATAATACTAATCAATTTTGGTTGTTGGTATAGGTTCTTCAATAATTGTAGTTTGACTTCCTAATAAATTTTCTATATTATTACTAGTATTATTTTGACTATTATTATAGTTATTACTATTTGAATGTTCACTATTATATATCATTTCATGATTATTTTGTCTAATTTTCACATCTAATTGAATTTGTTTTTTATTTGTAAATATAATTGTAATTAATTTACATAATATTGGACATAATAATGATTGATGTATTATTGCTGCAATACGATAATTTGGACCTTGAAATGGGTCAGCTAATGCAGCACACAGCATATGATTTAAGTTGACACCAGTTAACTGAAAATGAAAGTAAAATTTTTGTGATTACATGTACTTATTATGCCCTTTTTGTATTTGGTTTCCACTACTCACTACTACTGTATAAACAAAACTCTAATATTTGCTCTACATAAATGATTTATTTTGACAAAAAAAAATAAGTTTTTTTTTTGTATATAAATTTGTTTCTATTCGTTTTGCAAGAATTTGTACAGCGTGGTTTTTAAGAAGGAAAGTCTTACAAATGTACTCACCATTGATATCGGACTTAAAAAACAGAAGTGATAGAGTAACATTATCGCTATACCGATTAAGTTCCATTTAAAATCCATTATGTTTTCTAGTTTATAGGCACCTAAAAATTAAAAAATTTTATGTTAGTTGTGCTATGGTGTTTGCTTTGATAAAAAATTTATCAGTTTTTCTTTACTGTCCTTCTACTGAAGATTGAACATTTTATGTAAAAGTCAGAATCAATTAAAAACAATTGCTGTTATTAAGTTTATTTTAAGTAAATTTTTCTTGGACAACCTTTTGCCTTTACTATACTTTATTTTAAATGTAAGTTTAATATGTTTCTGAAATGTTCGAATGAAATTTTTGGATAAGTGCAATTTTAGTAAAAATCGGGCACTGAACATAAAATGGTTAAGTATCATTCTTTTGAATCACGGAATAATTATTTATGGAAAATTATTAAATCTATCTTTATGTATGTAAATTTGACTTGATTTTGATTTCAAATACCTAATGAAACTGCAAAATTTTTTATAGTGAATTAAAATGAAGTGCTAAATTTTTTTTATTATTTTTAAGATATTTTTCATATCGAACAAATGCTGCGTATTATAAATTTACCATGCCGTTTGTAACGCCAAGAAATAAACGTTGAAGATATATAGACATATATGTATATATACATATATATATATATAAATTTTTGCTCAGTGTCGTATTTGGCCAGTCTATCCGTCTGGTGACAAGTCAAAAGTTTTTAGAGTAAGAACCGTATTTAATGTGGAATCAATTAAAGCACTCGAAGAAAATTGGCTTTGATTTACTGTGTATGTTGTGCACGAAATTTGTATTAGCAAAAATAAAATTACCTTTTTCGATTTAAAGGACATTTTTTCTTCTTTTTTTAAAACTCTTTTTGTCAAAACAGTACTTCACAGAGTTCAGTATAATGGTCCTGTACTACTAAAATTTAAACCAAACTCTTATCAGCTGTCATACAGCTCTTAGGAAAAATTCGTACAAGTATCACAAAACTGACATAGTCGACTTGTCTATCTTAATTATATCAACTAGTTTTATATGACAACGATTTGAACTTACCTCCTTCTCTTATCAAATAAATTGGAATTATAAATAAAAGGGCATGTTGAACCCAATAAGTGAATTGTTCTAATGGTAACGTTCTGGAATCATGCTCTGGAAATACGAACGCTAATAATGGTCCATTTAAATAATTATTTTGTATTCTAAATAAAGCAGTCGTTGTTCGTGTTGGTTTTGCAGCTAAGAGGTAAATCTGGTTCATAAAATAGCAAATATTAAAAAAAAATTTATCATTATTATGTTAATAAAAAAAGAAAACAATTTTCAAGACAAATACAATGTGTAAACGTGTTAAAAAATGTGTCTAAAATCTAAGAAATTAAAAACAAATTTGTAACTCACTTGTATCATCGTTGTGATATGGCATGGATTTAATATAAATATCACTGATCTTGTTGATAGTTTAAAACCCATTTCCAAACCAAATATAAAAGTCATCGCTACTAACAATAAACGTCTACCAAGTGGGGGTGGTAGTTCTTGATTTGACCTTAAGTAACATGGTAAATTAAGTGGTTTTAACTTTTTTATTGTCAATTGAATAGAGAGTAAACATATTATTCCAACTAAAAATGATTCTGTTAAACGTCGTCTATTTGTCATATAATTGACACATTCTGGACCTGTAGTACGTGGTACTTCTGCTGACACACCACCAACTGCCCATGTCCAGTCCATTTTGATAGGAAATATTAAGAGAAAATTAAAATGCGAAAATAACGTTGAAATAAAGTGTCAATATTCCGTAAACTTTTTTCATAAAAATTTGAATTGCTTTTTTTGTGACTTTTTCAGCTTCTTTTCTTCATATTTTTTACTTAATGTTGTTTCTGAAAAAGAAGAAATTGTTGCAAAAAATTAATCGTTTATAATTTATACAAAGTTTTTATGTACTAATCTTTCTATAACAAAATGTTTTTTGTGGAAAAGCAACATGTATTCGCAAATATGTGCGAATAAATATGTCATAGCTGACTATGAGAAAGACTATGACTTTAAGTTCCCATATTACCATGTTAATTTATGCAAAATTTCAGTTCTATGTTTTCAATATTTTCTAAGAAATGGCCACACTATTTCTAAGAAATGGCTGTTATGCTAAGGTTGTATCGCAGCTACCAGAAAGAGACAAATACTTTCCACGAATTTTACCAAACACAATGGCCCTATAAATGTATTCGCTTGTGGGCAATTTCAATATCACCGCTTTTATAGTTTTGAGATATAGACCAATAACCTAAGAAGTTGTATGACAGCTACTAGAAAGAGCCGAGCAATCTCAATGATCTTTATTAAACACATTGGTTCTAATAATATATTCGCTTGTTTGAAACTTCAATACCACAGCTTTTATGGTTTCTAAGATATAGCAGAATAACTTTTGAAGTGGTATGGAAGCTACCCGAACCAGGCATTTACTATAATAAATCATTTGTGAAAATTTGGTGAACTTGGCTCAATTAGTTTTTGAGTTATCATTGAGACAGACGGGCAGACAGACAAAACTAAATCGACTCAGAATTCGATGCTGATCAAAAACATAAACTTGAGTCTATATCTCAGACCGTTATTTCTTAGAGTTACAAACGATAAGGCAAATTTAGTATACCTTTCGAGTATACGTTCATATGGGTATAAAAAAATACTCAAAACTTTCATCGACGGAAAACAAAGATTTAATTAAGGACATGAAATTTACTTCATAGTAAATTATTTTACCTATCAATATATACATGAATATATATATTGCGGTTTTACAGAATCATTATGTAAAGCAAAATGTCACACTTAATTGCATAAATTGCATTAAAACCAAACAATGATATGCTTAACATCTGTTTGCAATTATAATATGCATAAGTTAATTTACTTAATGTTTCTTCAAAAGTATTTAAGTGTATAACATTAGAAATTTACTTTATCATTATTAAATATCAATCATTGACCGGTAGTAATTAATTTAACACACACTAAAAAAGTAAGAAACACAAAAATAAATAGTTCTGGACTTTATATATGTATATTATGTAGTCACTCAAAAGGATACTCTTTGCTTATATTTATACTATGAAAGTTTAAAAATATACGAAGTCTTTTAAATTTGTATTCAAATTGTTGATTTTATAAAAAAAACACATTACTCAGCACAGAACATCTGCGACGCCTTAACAAAATAATTTTTGATGATTGTGGTTATGATGAGAATGGAAACGGTAGTTTTATCCAATAATTTTCATGATTAATTAAAACGTTTGAACCAGCACTTACTTTTACACCATTTTCGATAAAATTGGATAAAAAAATTGGAAAAAAAAATTTTTAAAAACTTGTGAACAGAAAGAAAACATATTACTGCTTAAGTTAACCGTTGTCCTAAACCGTTCCTCAAATTTTGTAGGAACTAATCTTACAAGTTAAAAACTGTTTCTTTCTCCCTCTTCTTCTATGTTATTGTCCCTCAAAGTTAGCAAAATTTCAATTTTCGTCACTTCATTTTTTGAAACTTTGTCACTAAATTTTCCTAATTTCTATACCTGAGGTCACTGAACTCACCTATTCAATCGGCGAATACGGCCATTAGTCCATTGATGTTTTTTTTTTTAATTTTCTTACCCTAAAATTATGCAATATTCAAAGAATATTTTTTAATGGAAGTATTTTTCTTAATCAAGTGAAATGTGCTATTTCGCAAACCATTGTTTTCATCAGACTTCATTTTGCTTATTTTTGTACTATATACATACATATGAACAGAAAAACAATTTTTAAAATTGGCAATAAAGTTATGCTTCCTGTTTGGAAATGATTTTAAAAAAATTAAGTTGAAATTGAATTATTTTTTTTTCACCAGCTTTTTAAATTTCTCTTATTTTTATGTTGTAATGGTATTTAACCTTCAATATTAACAGTAAAAACAAAATTACGGTATGTTCAATACTATGTAACTATATAACATTTACACATATCTAAGTATTTAACATTTTCATGCTTCACATTTTGTCAAATTCTATATACATAGTATTAAAAATCTTTGTATGCAAAAGCTAGGAGACAATTAGTCTATACAAAGTATTGATGATAATGCGGGTTTCTAATGACTTTTTGTTGAAAAAATCATTTAGAGCCAAATAATTTGTTTTCTTTTATGCAAATGCCTTTTTGTTAAATAAAATGTAATGGACAGTAAAACGACAGTCTTAAAAATTTCTTCCTTTTATATAAATTGAATGTAGTTTTTATATTGCTTTCTATTTAAAATGCTTTAGTGTTCAACTGAGACGGTCAAGGTCATTAAAATATTTTAATATTTTATACGATAAAATTTAACCCTTATTGTAAATATCACTCGTAGCACTGAAATCGGAGAAATTACGAATTTCATATTGTGAATTCCGAAGTAGCAGAAATTTTTTACGAAATTCGTAGTAGAGTAATTATGAATCACACTCGTAATGAAAACAAATTCTACTAATGAAATTTTCAAGCGTAGAAAGCCAGTAATCAAGAAGGGTAGGTTAATTTTTTTAGGTTTTTATTTGTTAAATTTTTTTTATGTAAAAGAGGGAAGTTCAAGTATTTAGCGGAATTTATTTGATTTACATATATTATATTAAAATTTTCTTAAAGGAAAACGAGTTCATTTTAATTAAACTTTTTTTTTTGATTGTCTATTGTACACTTCACAGCAGTAAAAAAAATAATGATTTTGACACTCCGAAAAATAATATTGCCATTGCAGATTCATAATCTCTACGAGTAAGATTTACAATTACTCAAAAATCTACGTGCGTAACTTAGTTCGAAATTCGTAGAATTCCACGAGTGAGATTCGCAATAAGAGTCAATATTACCCGTTCATTATATTTCGAAATAAGTAAGCATTTTTTTGTTTTCTTCTACTAAATACCACTAATAATAATTTTTAAGAAAAATTTCATACTATAGATCAAATCATATATATAAGCTACTTTTAGGGGTATTTTGGTAAATTATAAATTGAAAATTAAATGAGAAAAAAGCTTAATTTCTTTGAGGACTTAAACTATGAAAAGCACATCAAAAAAGAAGAAATTTCGGACTTTAAATCTGTAGAAATCTAAAACCTAAATTTAATCACGGGCGCGAGTTTCCATTTTCAGAGAATAGTTTGTAATTACTTAAATTTGTTATAATAAAAATTAATTATGATTGATACAGGAATAAATTATATTTTGCTATATATATATAAAAACTCCATGAAATTTCATGCTGAAGGAAATTTTTAAAGATTTTTAATCTTTTATATAGCGTATAAAATGTATTAATAGCTTACATATATTTATTAATTTTAATATTTGAGTAACTATAATCGTTTTTGTAAACTTCCGCAACATAACTGATTTCACATTTGATAACCAAATTAAATCAGCTTAAATTTGCAATGAGCTATTCTTTTATGGACTTAAATTGTAATTTAAGAAAGCATTTTATTAAAAATGTAAAAATTCTTATTTTATGAATCAATGAAAAACATTTGCTGATTCTTATATTTATTAATTGTCATCAAACAAACTTCTTTTCACATACTATTGCAACTAATAAAAATTAACTATAATTACAGTTTACCATCTTAAAGTTTATTCTAAGGCTTGTGTTCAAAAAAATTGTAATTTATTTTATTACCTAAATTTTTTTTTATTTACATACACCATATACGCTCATAACGTGCATAATGTTTTCAAATAAAATAACATTTAACTTTAAAATTACATACTGTTCGAACTAATTAAGAAGATTATTCAAATAAGAATAAGAAAAATTAATGTGGAATTGACACGAAAATATTTTACATGGTTAAAAAATTAATTGTGAAGTCACTATAAGTGCACCCAATTAAGTGAATTTTTTTAAAATCCTTAGAATTTTATTTTATTAAGTATTTAAATTATTTAATATGCAAATGCTTGCTTAAGTTAAATAACATGCAAATGTTTGGTAAATTTGTTAATTTTGCATTTGAATTTCAGTAATTACACTTGGGGTATGCATACAGTATTTTTATAAATATGTTTATAAAAGTTAAAGTAGTTTTTTTAAGGTTAAGAAATCTTATGTTTCGCAAATCGATTAATTAAAAGTAATTATTGTTTTCATCGTTCCTAATTCATAAATGTATAAATGAAAATAATTTTCTGATCGGAATTCATATTCGGGTATGAACGTACATGTATACAAATAATATTGTGTTTACATAATATGTATATATGTATAAGTGATTTTGGAAATACAGTAATGTGAATTAGAAAATATACGAAGTTTATAAAAGTTTAGTAGATAATTACATATATTTAGTGATTTTTAACTTGGATTTCTAAAATTTGTGATATTGGAAATTGATTTTTGATAATTTTATTGTGTTTTAATTCTAAACTAAGTTAAGGACCACTAAGTCAATCCTAAACCAACTCTACTAAGTTAAATTATATTTTATGTTTATTGACGGTTTGTACTTTTATAAATACATACTTATATTTTGTGTTTATACTATATTTTGCGCAGTTGTAGCTGGAGTACCGTTGTAATTTGATTCAAACGTACAGTTAGCTGAATTCATGCAGTGAGTCTGTTCTAGGACAGCACATTACATAGTACAACTACGAGTTTGCAGTAATTTGTACATTTTCAAAAAAACTTTTCCTCAACGGCATCGAGTAGATTGCTTTTTTGATTTGTAGTTATAATGAACTTATTTTAGTGAAATTCGTTATAACGGGTGATTTTTTTAGATTTTTGATTTTGTTGTTTCTATTTTTGACACTTCATGCATAATTCTTGACATAACATTTGCATA